TCTCAGGTCGGCAATTCGGAGCGAAGTCTCTCATTGCATATGAATGAGAACGTGCATTCAGCCAAACGTCATTTACCAAACCAAACATGTGTATTTGTGTTCCATTTCTGACGTTCTGAAGGTTGCAACTAATTAATGATATTTCATCTACGTTCCTCAGAGCTATTATCGCAGTATAGTATGCTCTGACATCGAAACGTTGAAATAATTGAAGTAATCAACCCACCATTCTCAAATACACGTGTATCTACGTGTTGAAGGGAATACTGAACGACATAGGTACTGACATGATTTTACGAAGAAAAACATGAAACATTCATATTGTTTTCAGACAGGAGACCATAGCTCAGAGTGGAATTACTTGAGCAAATCTCGAAGCCATCTCCCCAACAATTTAATCAATCACAAACAATAAAAATTCCACAGAATTCCTAAAAACAAGACTTTTTTGGTTCTTCGAGTGAAATGCTTGAGCGACTGTGGAACATTATTGTTTGCGAAGTTGTTTTGCTTTAGTATGGATTTCCATCAAGTAACGGCCGAGTCAATACAAAAAAATCGATTGTACATGTTTCGGACGAACATTTTTTCATCATCAGCTTGAATATCAAGGAATTTTCGTATTACAATTTTAAAAGTGTGAAAATAAAAAAAGAAAAGAGGGGCCTTGTGCCCCTAAGCCACAATCAAGGCGTAGATAACATGTGTCTGACATAATGTAATGCTCCCCTTTCTTCGTTCGTTGGCCTACTACAGGGGGTCGTTACAAAGTAAGTTTTCCTCGATCAATGGGTTCGTTGATTATTGAGGCAGGAGGCAGACTGAGATTGTAGACAATAAGACAACATATAGATAGCTACTGAGACATATATTCAGGCAGTATGGTCAGGCAGAGGTTACAGGCAACAAAATCAAAGTTTGCTTACATTTTAGATTGCACATTTTTGTTACACTGTTCACTTGTTTTTTAATTGGCGAGAGATTCACTTCACTTTTACGTCTTAGTCACAAAAGTTGCAGTTTAGCATAGATCTACCTGAGTGGTTACTTACACAGGTATTATTAACGAAGTTCACTGGTACCTCGCTGGTACTGTTCGAACGTAGCATGTTTGATAGACAGATACAAAGTCGGCTGGATACGTTTTGTATTGAGTCACGTTTAAGACTCAACATTTTACATTCTGCTCAATAGATTCAATGATTGAAATTCAATCACTCCCGAGGCTCACTAACAAAACTTTCAACTAACACAACGGAGATCGAAACATCGTATTGGAGACTGATCAAGACTGTTTCAAGAATAACTTCAGACTGTCTTTTTTCATTCGGATTGTTTCTGCTTTTATACAGAATTTACCAATAAATTTTGGGAGAATCAATTAAATATAAGACAAGCTCCATGTTGTGTTTATATTAGGCAAGATTTTTCGTAGATTTTTGAGCGATAAATTACAGATGTTAGGATCAATTTGCGAAACTAAAAAGATTTCGTTGTAGTTCTGAATTGTTATGACGATAAATAATTTGAAGCTTCAACTCATACTCTTGATGTTAATAAAACTGTCACTTACTATATGATTTTCCATTAACCCTTTTTCAAGCAATAATTCAATGTGGTTTATGATTATCATTAATTTTTCTTGACTTCAATTTGCACAAGTGAGATGATTTCGATATAACTCTCTAATGTTATGATAATAATTCACTTCAGGAATATTAACAAAATTGACAATAACATGCTCTTTCCTTTACGTATTTGAGCTAAATAATAATTTATTGATCTTTCGAGCCAATCAGATTGAAATCAGTCCCTCTTTACTGAACTTATAAATTCTCTGCAAATTCTAATCAACGTCATTTCTGTCTCTCAATTCGATCCTGTGATATTAACCTGCTTCGTTCTCAAGTGACCAGTGAATTCGTTTTACAAAGGTAACGTAGGTACCTCTACTTATTCTATACATTTATTTATGCTAATGATGCTGCACTCAATTCAAAATAAACATTCGTCCGTTCACGTAATAATATTGCCTAGTATAGACGCATGATAGAAGTTATTCTTGTTCAAGACAATTATTTTTCACTGTACTTAGTTCAAAAGAATTCAGTGCTCCATACCATTTTCTCTAAGATACCCGTTCATTACAATAATATCAAAGAAACCAAACAATCTAAAAATTAGTTCAATCACTTCGCTGTTCGTCTAAATTGAGGTTTTTGAAATTTGTATCCATTTCCCTATTGAGATTAAGAAGAGGGAGCACAAAAGTCTGAAGATTTTCTTGCCTTTTTTATGACCTCAAATGTGTTCAGTCTACAGGAATAATTAGCGAACGATTAAGTGTAAAACAAATTGAGCGTTCATGAAGTAAACTGGGCGTCAATTGAAACGTTAATAGTAAAATTTGGCATTAAATTTGACTTCTGGTAATTTCTAAAATATTGAACGAATTTTGAATTGCCGCCCAGATTCTGAATGTCTTTTTCATCGTCTTTCGAACCGTTCCTTACAGCTTCTTCTAAATTGATCAGGACCCATGATACAGGGTGAAACAAAGTTTCGTGCATTTTGAAAAAAAATTCTCCGCCCCCCCATTTTGTCGGAAGACCACGATGCTCATATTTTATTCAGGCATTTCATAAATAGCAACCATACCTCGGGACGTTTTCGAGTTTTTGCCAAAAACTACTGTGGTTTCCGAAAAAAAAATTTTTTTTGCATTTTTTTTAAATGGACTAATCACCTGTATCCTCAAAACGATGAATTAGTCTATTTATTGTCATGACTGACTTATTGAAAATGGTACTTAAATGAATTTGGGTATATCCTAATCGTCGTAACCTGAAATAATAATTATCTGTACTGAATTATCGTTTATATCACTATAGTGATCTTACCTAATGATATTTTCCATTTTGACCCGATTTGAACGAGGCATCTTTAAATTTTTAAGGACTCGAATTACACTGACGTTTTCATGAAAATTGGCAATTGATATAACCTCTATACATACCTACATTGTTTGAACAATACGTTCTTATAGAAACAAGGTATCGTTGTTTGTTTTTGTTGATGTGTTGATTTACTGCTCACTAAATTAGAAAACGTTCATCATAGACTGCGAAGTAATAAATTATTGATTGTTTTTGAGTAACCTGGTATACATATCTGCTCCAACGCTTTCCTGAAATGCATGAAAGCATCCATTTATGGAACTCCTCTAAAATTAGTCCATTTAAAAAAAAATGCAATAAACATTTTTTTTTCGGAAACCACAGTAGTTTTTGGCAAAAACTCGAAAATGTCCCGAGGTATGGTTGCTATTTATGAAATGCCCGAATAAAATATGAGCATCGTGATCTTCCGACGAAATGGGGGGGCGTAGAATTTTTTTTCAAAATGCACGAAACTTTGTTTCACCCTGTATCACGGGTCCTGATCAATTTAGAAGAAGCTGTAAGGAACGGTTCGAAAGACGATGAAATAGACATTCAGAATCTGGGCGGCAATTCAAAATTCGTTCAATATTTTAGAAATAACGAGAAGTCAAACTTGATGCCAAATTTCACTATTAACGTTTCAATTGATGCTCAGTTTATATTAGATTGAGGACTCCTCCAAATGGTTTTCTCTTCAACTTGTTCAGAAAACACAAGAAGCTGATCATTTGAGTCACAAGAATGCAAAACCTGATACAATCTCTTTGAATTTAAGTTTGATTTGAGATGTGGAAAACACCTTGCCCAAAACCTCAATAAATTTGACCAAATAATACCTAATGAGAACCTGTGATATGATGCAAATTATGATGAATCTTCAGAACAAAGCACGAAGTTTACTGAGCGTTTCATCCAGCAGAGTAGTTATCTACAGGGGGATTGGGGCAATAAATGAAATAGATGATAGAAGACAAAAAAAACAAAACGAAATGAAAGGATATATTTTTGTGGGAAAATCAATATTTTGGAAGATATTGAGCTTCAAAGTTTGTCTGAACCATTTGTAAATCATTGATCAGAGTATAATAGCACCAGAAGGATCAATATGGCTTTTGCACTGTTGCCGGACGTTCAATAAATGTTTAAAGATGTAGTTATGGTAGAAGCGCACATTTGAAATCATGCGTAAAATCTGAAATTCAGAGAATTCATTGCATTAAGAAAGTCACGGAAATAATTTTCAGATACAATTCAATAGCATGGCATTAAGTTTTCCGAAGTTCAACATTTTTTTATCCTTCTGGTTACCAATGTTGCTGCTGAAAGAGGCTTTTTGGAATTGGAACTGAAAAAAAAGCATCTTAATATTGACTATGGGACCAGAACGTTATCAGACTTGGCAGAATATCTCGAAAAACTAAAACCATCTACAGCTTTGGATGATTTGGTGAATAACTCTGCCGAAAAAAAGGCGAGAAAATTACATATATTCGATTTTTCTTCTGTGAAAAATCTTCACTATCAATGTGGGCTTCGTTGCAATAGGGTAGAAGGGCCTCACCAACAAATTTCAATAAAGGGCCCGTCCAGGGCAAGCTACGTCACTGAGTTGAAATCTCTCTATGTAACTTCGGCACACCCTGTTTAAGGCAAATCAGAATCTTTCAAAAGGAAGAAGGAAAGCTCAATGTCATCTCCACAACTTTAATGATGATGTAAATCAATCAAAGGGACCTGTTTCGGACTTATAAAAGTCAACCTTCAGCCGTTTTTAGAAGTAACTTCAAGCAAAAATTCATGACAATATGTATATTTTCACATGCCTTCTTGTAGTAACTTCTAAAAACGACTGAAGATAGACTTTTATAAGTCCGAAACAAGTTCCTTTGATTGATTTACATCAATAATAAAGTAGTGGAGATGACTTTGAGCTTTCCTTCTTCCTTATGAAAAATTCCACTCTACTTTGGGCAAAAATGGACTTCTACCAGAGATTAAATCAGAGAATCTTTCCTTTCAGAACCCACCGCCAAATCACCATCAGCCAAGACCGTCACCTTGCGCTCCAACGGTTCCGCCACCTCCCCGTCTTCCGAAGACCGCCGATCAACGGCGGCGGAGCCCGAACAGCAAGCGGCCACCAAGATCCAGGCGGCGTTCCGGGGCCACCGGTCGAGGCAGAGCATGAAGCAACCTGCGGGGGCAAAAGAGGAGGCTGCCCGGGAGCCGACGCGGGAGCAGCTGGAGGAGGAGTTCCGAATGGACGACCAAGGTGAGTGATAGTCGCAGAAACACCGCACGAAGAAGTTAGCGTGATTAACCCAGACACGCTGAATATATCTGTTGGTCAACACACTTCTGTTTTTTTCTCGGGACGTGTCTTGTTTGTCCTTATCTTCACATTGATGCCTTTGGTACGTTTATATCAGCAGCTGGGGGAGGAGTTCCAAATGGAGGACCAAGGTGAGTGACAGTCGCAGAAACACCGCACAAAGATGATACGGTGGTTATACCCAGATACGCTGAATATCTCTGCTGGTCAACACACTTCTGTTTTTTCTCGGGACGTGTCCTTTGTGTCCTTATCCTCACATTGATGCCTTTGATACGGTTATATAAGCAGCTGGTGGAGGATATCCGAATGGAAGATCATGGGGAGTGACAGTCGCAGGAAACACTGCACAAAGAGGATACGGTGATTATAATTAGAGAAGCTGAATATATCTGCTGGTCAACACACTTCTGTTTTTTCTCGGGACTTGTGTTTTGTGCCCTTATCCTTACATTGATTTCTTTGAAACAGTTATATGAACAGCTGGAGGAGGAGTTCCGAATGAAAGACCAAGGCGAGTGTCAGTTGCAAGAAATACTGCACAAAGAGGATACGGTGATTATACCTAGAGACGCTGGTGTGTCCTTATTCTAACATTGATGCCTTTGGTACGGTTATATGAGCAGCTGGAGGAGGAGTTCCAAATGGACGACCAAGTTTAGTGACAGTCGCAGAAACACCGCACAAAGATGAGACGGTGGTTATAAATAGAGACATTGCATATATCTGCTGATCAACACACTTCTGTTGTTTCTCGGGACGTGTCCTGTGTGCCCTTATCCTTACATTGATACCTTTGGTACGGTTATATGAGCAGCTGAAGGAGACGATCCGAGAATGGATGACTGAGGTGAGTGCCAGTTGCAGAAACACCGCACAAAGATGAGACGGTAATTATAACGAGAGACGCTGAATATATCTACTGGTCAACACACTTCTGTTGTTTCTCGGGACGTGTCTTGTGTGCCCTCATGCTTACATTGATACCTTTGGTTCGGTTATATGAGCAGCTGAAGGAGAAGATCCGAATGGACGACCAAGGTGAGTGACAGTTGCAGAAACACCGCACAAAGATGAGACGGTAACTATAACGAGAGACGAGGAATATATCTGCTGGTCAACACACTTCTGTTTTTCCTCGGGACGTGTCTAGTGTGCCCTTATCCTTACATTGATACCTTTGGTACGGTTATATGAGCAGCTGAGGAAGAAGATCCGAATGGACGACCAAGGTGAGTGACAGTTGCAGAAACACCGCACAAAGATGAGACGGTGGTTATAAATAGAGACGTTGAATATAACTGCTGATCAACACACTTCTGTTGTTTCTCGGGACGTGTCTTGTGTGCCCTCATCCTTACATCGGTACCTTTGGTACGGTTATATGAGCAGCTGAAGGAGAAGATCCGAAAGGACGACCAAGGTGGGTGACAGTTGCAGAAACACCGCACAAAGATGAGACGGTAATTATAACGAGAGACGTTGAATATATCTGCTGATCAACACACTCCTGTTTTTTCTCGGGAGGTGTCTTGTGTGTCCTTATCCTCACATTGATACATTTGGTACGGTTATATGAGCAGCTGGAGGAGGAGTTTTAAATGGACGACCAAGGCTAGTGACAGTCGCAGAAACATGCACCGCACGAAGATGAGACGGTGATTATACCATCTGCTGGTCAACATACATTCCTTTTTCCTCGGGACGTGTCTTGTGTGACATTACTCTTACATTGATACTTTTGGTACGATTATATGAGCAGCTGGAGAAGGAGTTCTGAATGGACAAGCAAGGTGAGTGACAGTCGCAAAAACACCGCACAAAGAGGAGACGGTGATTACACCTATACTCACTACAAAACCTATCAAAACTACTTCATTATACGCTAATTAAGTTACTAGAAGCAGGAACGAAAACTCAAAACGAGTAGACTAATGAACACAACACAAAATACATTTGGTTACGGTTATAGCTGGAGGAGGAGTTTCGAATGGATGACCAAGTCGCAGAAACACCGCACAAAGAGATTTAAAAGTTACCTCTTGATGGTCATAGTAATAGGTGATAGAGTTGATGTTTCCTTCAACTATTCCATTGAAAGAAAACAATAAGAAACTAATTATTAGAGTGAAAATAAATTCTCTTCAGTTGAACCTGAAGTTCTTAATTGACAGTAGAAGTTTTGATGTTTCATAGGCATCAATGAGCGTAATAGGTCATATTTCTACTATATTTGATACGAAATATTGTTCACCCATTGTGTGAAATGTGAATTACTAAATAATCTATATCGAAGCACACTATACCCGGTCAAGTCAGGTAATTCAAAAAACGTTCAAATCGATTATGTGCAATAATAATGTATATGAAAATGTCTCAGTATGAGTATTGAAATTAAACTAATATGGTCAAGTCAGGATATTTCCAAATAGCTTAGTGCTGCTCTGAAGGGCATATGAAGAATTGAATATTAACATGTCTATTGAAGGTGTTATATTATCAATATTGATATATTTCAGTATTTCATTGTTCAAAGACTGATAAGTTTTCAAATTAGCAGAATATCTCAAATACCAATTTTTTTAAAGATACTTCAGTATTGAACTAGAGCAGAGATATATGGAATGGAAACAGTAAAGTAAAGCTTTTTGCTCGGAATAAAATCTGATTTTTTGTGAAGGAGCTTTCGCGATGGAGCTAACAATGATTTTTCCATAGAAGAGTATTATTGATGAATATACCGAGCATAGGAATGGTGGGAATGGTGGTGACGACGAATTCGAAATTCAACTAGGCTGTGGAATGGAATGGTAATACTGAAAAAGAATGCAGTATGGAGAACACTGTCATCTGCATAGCTGCTATCATTGATATTGAGAATGTTGGTGCCAAAATGGATCCTGCTTGTGCATCGCCGGAATTGATAGCTACGGTTTCAGACTATACTCCCCAGACAACACAAAGTGATTCTGGAGATGTTCTTAGAATATTCCCGTGGGTTTCGAATATTCTCAGAATGTTGTCACAAGGCGAACTAAAGAACATGAAAATGGGTCGAAAATTCACGATCCAAGAACTTTCTCACAATATTTTTCAGAACAATCTAGGAATATTCCCGTATACAGGTTGTTCTAAAGCGCAGAGAAAATATTTCAGGGATCGATATTAATCATTCCAGAATTACGTCATTTGACAGGTTGCTGAGGGGCAAACATTTTATTTCGTCAAGATTTGTCATATAAAACCAGAATTAGTGGGATCGTTTTCCCTGGAATCCGAGTTGGAACGAGAAAGAATTTCATAATTTTGTTTGATGAAACTGTTATTACTTATATTGTGGATGTGGCAGGGATGGCCAGGGCTATGCTCATCAAAGGTAACCTAACAAATAGTTTGTGTGCCCCTCAAGAAACCATGTCAAAATCACGTGTTCTAGAATGACCAATAGGAGGAGAATACACGAAGACCTGGAAGGGACACAAATAAAAACTTATTCTGAGTTAAAATTGGAGAAGATAGCGGTAAATTTGAATTCACTACACCCCATTGCTATTGCATATTAGTATGACAAGTTTCATCAAAATCAGCTGAAACGATTTAGAATAATCAATTAAAAATCGATTTTTCGAAAAATTTTACTCCCTTTGTCTCAAAAACGAAGCGGTAGGACATATGTTTATATAGGAAGCAAACAATTTTCTCTTTCAATTGGTTAACCAAAGATTCTAATTAGGGAGATGGGGCATAGTGAAAAGATTAATTTTAGGTAATTGTACTTTGAAAAAACACCTTCAGCAGGATGTAGGGATTCATGAAAGAAACATAGTCTCTCATATATCCTATTGGGTTTCAATTTTCTAGAAATAGAAAAACACTCAGGAAGGAGAAACATATACCCAAGCGAAAATACCACTTGCTATGACCCGACATTCTACTTCCATAGGAATAGTGAATTAGGGAATTAACATTTTCCTATCGAACAATGGAGGGTTGGACGTAGGGCTATTTTTATTTTCGAAACAAACAGCCCGGCTTTGGAACAAGGACGGCTGGATCGCTTTGATCGATATTGCTCTCCGGAAGTAATTTTATATATTTATGCCCAGGTGATGTACATGGCGGCGCGAAATCAAATCACCGATTTGTTTTTCATACTGAAGTGAGGTGATCAAAAGACTATTCATTTCGTGAACCACCAACGTTTATTTGAAGCTCCGAAATGTGTTTTATGCATTTCAACATGAAGACCATGGTTTTATTACACACTTACACAAGTGTACATATATTTACTGATTTGTTGTTCGCCTAGACCTAGAACTCAAAAAAGGAGTAATAGTACACGTTTATGAATATGAACTTTATTTCCTAAAATATGACAAGAAAACACTTCCTTATCCATACACAACCTGTTATAGCGAGAAAAAATATAAGAACGTTCTTTTATTCACCGGTGGCTCCATCAATCCACCAACAGCGTTCATATATTCTTTGGTGAATTTCAGTTTGACATTACCTCATGTTCATTTATTACTGTTGTGTCAACCAAAATTGCGAACCATTCCACCGAAGAATAGAGATGGTGGACGAATTTTAGTGGTTTTCGAAATGACAGCGACAGCATAACCTCAAAAAAATATTGGATTTGAAAGCTGTTTGCCATTTGCCTAGGAAAAAATATGGATGAATTGATCGAAATCAGCCTAGAATATGAAAATTAAAGGATAGCTGCAACCAACAGAAATTGAAGAAATTTCGAGTAGTATAGGTACCTACTATTGCCTTTCCCATCATGAATTTCAAGAAATAAGTGCAAACATTCAGGATGCTTGAGTACCAACAGATAATTCTTATTAATGACTCTATCCATATCATCATAATTGGATGCAATGTTTTGTATAGGTTGTTGAGAATTTTAACCTAACTCATCCTCGGAACTATCA